AAAAAAAAAAAAAAAAAAAAAAAAAAAAAAAAGCGTATCAATTATCAATTATGGGCAAAATCAGTAATGGATTTCGGTTCAGGCCGACAGACGGCGAATGCATAGCTTATCTCCTGGGTTTCGTCACTGGGAATTCCCCTCCCTCCCACGGCTTCATCTCCATAGCCGACCTCTACGGCCAAACGGAGCCTTGGGAGCTGTTCGAAAATTCCGAGGTTAAAAGCCGCGGCTGCCGTTATTTCTTCACGAAACTCAAGAAAGTCGGCGCCAAGAAAGGAAGGAGTTACCAGCGCTACTCGAGGAACGTCGGGACCTGCGGCGGGAATTGGTCCAACAAAGGCCAGAAATCAGACATCATCGGCCCCAAGGGCAACATCGTTGGGCACTCTAGAACCTTCCGCTACCAGCCGAGAAACTCGGACGACGTGGGCCCCACGCACGGCGAGTGGGCCCTCAAGGAGTACTCTCTTTCCGAGGACACGGTGCTGGGACTTGACGAGGATCGGCGGGACTACGTTCTCTGCGTACTCAAGAAGAAGAAGGAGAAAAAGACAATAACAAGTGGCGGTGTCCAACCCGTCGAAGCAGATTTTGACTATTTGGTTGCCACGCTGGCAGCCACGTCTTCAGATAGACGGACACCGGTCGAGGATGATGTGGCAGCCCTCGAAACTAATGAGGTCATGTGGCCGTCTGTTAACGAGAGTTTGCCGACTATGCAAACGTGGACTGGGGTTAATGATGTGCCGTTTGCAAGCAGTTCGACACAAGACGGGTTTCTCGAACATTCTATTGGGTTTGGAGAAGCTACTGAACAAGAATATTGTTATGATGATCAGCAGCTCATACAGGCCATGGCGGTGGCAGGTGACAAGATCGAGTGGCCATCTGGTTTCGATAGTTTGCCGACTATGCACACGTTGACTGGGATTAATGACATCATGCCACCTGAGAGCTGTTGGCCACAAGTTCATGATTTAGGGATGCTGGAATCTGTCGGTTTTGTAGAAGCTAATAATGAAGATTGTTCTCAGAACGAGCTGGCGACAGGTGGCAAGGGCATGTGGCGTTCGATTAACGAGAGGTCGCCTCTGCACATGTGGAGCAGGTTTGGTGATGATGTGTCGCAGGGCGACATAGTAGTGGGTCGCCATCAGAATGATCAGGTTTACGTGGATAATTGGTTGCGTGCAAACGGCAAATGGGTTCCACAGCCAGCCCGGCCGGTATACTGATCGATTGACGTACTTTGGACTTTGTACTCTCTCTTCTTAGAAGCTTATTTTCTCACAGTTTCATTCTGAATTATATTAGATGACATTCTTTTATAGAAGCTTATTTTCTCACATCTTTATTCAGAATTCTGCTAGATGACATAATTCTTCTTATAATTCTTTGGTGCCTTATGTATTGTTTTTGAAGAATAATACTTGTAGTACTTACAGTTAATCGGCTGCAGTCAGTTTAACTTAATTAATGGAAAATCAACAAATTAATAAAATCATCTTATAACAACATTCACATAAAATCATACAAAAATCAATTACATTTTACAGCCATGCAACTGCAAGCCCATATATGCCTAATAATCCTTTCTTGACTTATTTTATCACACATGATAAATTGATCTAGTTTGGACGCCGGAAATAGAGCGGAACAGGATTAGGCGTCGGCAGCGGCGCGTCCCAAACGGAAAATGCGCTTGCGGAGTTCATCCACTTGCCACTCATCTCCGGGAAATGCCGGTCGAGCACATCTTTCAGGCTCTCAGTTGTGTTCACCCATTCAAGGCCTTTCTTCGTGTACACTTCTTCGTTGAAATCACTAGTGAAAAATTTATCTGCTTCTAGTCTCCTGTTTCAAACAATATAACAATGTGAAATACAAAGGGAAAAACAACAATATATGTTTTTATTAATTAGAAAGTAATTTGTTTGCAATTAGTTGCTGTTAGTTTTTGTAAAACCTGGTTGCCATGAGAAGGAAAATGACGAAAGCGGTCTCGGAGATGGCAAACCCTGGGATCTTCTTCTCTGCGGTTAGGCCCACCATAGTATCGAGCTCCTCAACATCGTCACCGTACACGTGGCGGAGGGTATTGATAGCCTCTTCATCGTCCGTCAGGTCTTCCCATTTGGCAATCGGTATCAGCAAAAGGGACCTCCGAAAATCGTTGTACCTTGCGACGCTCCTCTCCCTGTCCCTGTAAACTGTAGCACGTACACCATAAATTAACTAAATAATAAAATAAACATTATAAAATAGTTTATGAGCTTTGTTGTTCAGAAATTTTGCATGTTATGACTTACTCTCGAGAGCAGGTAAGTCGATCGGGTCGGGTCGATCCGTGCCGTCGATGTTTTGACTGATGAGATTCCTGAACCACATCGGATAATTCCAAAGCTCAATGGCGCCACATGATTGGTGCCCCATTGACACCATCAACTTAGCTAACCCAATTTTCGATAAATTCTGTGTTCCTTGCTGACCAATCATCTCCTCCATGTCAATTCTGTAAATGTTCAATGATATTTTCTTTGTTAAGTCAAACTATTAACTCATATAATTCGTTATTCAAGTCATCTATTAAAATTGAATCCAATAGTCATATCAATATATATAAAAAAAAAAAAAAAAAAAGTTTACTCTTTTTGTGGAGGAGGAGATTTGTTTGGTCCAGGTAGAGCATCAAGGTTTCTGAGGAGGAGTTTATCGGGTAAGAGCGTGTGCATTCGGTAAACGCTGACGAATTCCTCGGTCAACGAATATGAGACGCCATGGTCAACGGGTTTGTTCGAACCCACGATACCACTTAACAACGTTACTCCAGTGTGCCCTATTGTGTCTTTGATTCTCTTCCCGAGCAATCCATACCTACATAATTAAATTTCAACAATCCATAATTAGTTATTTAATTACCTTCAAATGTTTGTTAATTACTTACACGTACCAATTGCCCCGCATCCCAGCAAGCAGCATATCAGTCTTAAGAAGCTCCACCGTCCAATCGATGATGTGGACTTTCGCAATCACTGCTGACGTCACTACCCTCGCGTGACGATACAGCTCCTCGTCTTCCAAATCCGGGTATTCCTTCTGCAAAAATAATCACAATAATTAAGGCCATGTAATAAGGGCACTTGTTAATTGTTATACATTATTTTCTGAAAAAAATGGCTAGATATATAATTAGAAAAAATTATATTTTTGGTCCACGAATAATAATTTATTGGATTCAATTTAAGTCAATTTGATCCAATTTCAATCTCGGATGCCGAAGTCCAACAATTATTTGATTCGAAATTGGTCAAATAAGTCTTAAATTTTAGAATTATTGAATCATTTTGGACCAAATTGACTAAAATTTATGAGTCATTGGACCAACTTTGAAACTTAATAAGTTAATGGGCAAAAATGAAAAGCACTCTAATTAATATACTAAAACTGTAATTTTCCCATATACATTATGTAGCTAGCTAGAATAAATTAATTTTACTAACATAACAAATGATGTGTATATATAATAAATGCTCTTTTTTTTTTTTTTTGTGTGTGTGTGTATACCATTAATGCGTCACATATTGCGTTATGTTCCTTGACAAAGAGGGCCTGCAAAGCCGAGAGACCAGCCCATATATTTCGAACATCGCCTGTTAATACAGTCCCGTTTGGATTAACGATGAGAAGTCCATCTTCTGAAATCTTGAGCTTCCCGTCTTTGAATGTACGTACTTTCTGCATAGTTTCTTGGTCACTGCCGTAGATTGCACTCCCGTCCCTTCCCAAATAAAACGATCATTTAAAGTCTTAGAGCGGGAAAAATTAGAGATTTAGTCATATAACCAGTCACAAAATTTAGAAATAGTCCGTTGGTTGCATTAATTGTACATAACACCTTGTAAATGCACGAAAAAAAAAAAAAATCAATTTTTTATTTCCACTGGCAAAAGCCGATCAATTTGACCGACTACTCAGTTGGATATGTTAGCCGGTGGCCACGAAAGAAAATAAAAAATTATATCCACATCAACAACCAGTCACATGACCAAACTTTTGCCCGTGGAAGAATCGAAAGTCAGATGTTTTGTAAAGTCAACGCGATCAGCAGACTACTATTTCTCAATTAGGTGTCAGTTAAAGAATTAAATCTCCAATTTTTTTATTTTTTTTCTCTTAGATCATATTATTTTTTCATTATTCATTATGAATATATAACACAAAATTATTCTCGTGTGAGGCGGTCTAGCCTTTAGAAGACATGGACCAATCAGTCATATCATCTGAACAAAAAACGTATACATTTATATAATGAAATGTCATACTTTCTAGTGTGCAACAAATGAATAATCAGTTTTACCAAGGAACGTACGACATCTTACCACCAAGGTGTTCGGCGGTTCAAAAACCCGGACTTGATCC